CAGTGGGGCCATATTAATAAACTCATCCTGGTCCAGTTTTATATTTCTTCAACCATTATCCCACATCCTTAAAGTCTGTTTAGACACTTCTTCAATTGAGGCTCTTACTCAAGTGATTCTAATGTGGCAAGTTGACTTTAAACCATCCATCAAGGCTTCCCAAAGCAGCTGATCATTCACAGCCTCTGTGTTAGATGATTCATGATCCAAGCAATTAACTCTTTCCCAAGAACTCTGGTTTAGGGACTACCTTTGGCTCCCTTTAATACATCACATATGAAGGGAAGCTTGGCATTCAACAGCAGCAAACTGTGCAGACGTTACAGAGAACGTGGCCTGTGCAGCATGTAGACTGGGACAGTTGTCCATACTGAAAACAAACCCATATTTCAAGTCTCATTTCAGATGGATTAATGATCGAAAAGTGGAAAAATAAACTTTAAAACTTTAAAAGAATCCAGAGATTCTTTATGAGATCAGGATATGGAATGACGTTCAAAACATATAAAATAAAAACATTGATTTAAAAAATCAATTACATTAAAACTAAAAGATTTATTATTAAAGACAGTATGAGAGTGAAATCAAGCCCAAGACTGTCACAATACTGGAAAAATATAGACAGTAAAGACTAGCATTCACCATATCCAAAGAACTAAGGGTCAATATTATAGTAGAAAGATGGGTAGAAATTCTGTGGTATATTAGGAAAAGAAAAAAACTTGAATAGTTATTTAATTAAAAAAAAATCTCAACCGTACAACTTATCAGAGTGAACTTAAAACCAGTTAATAACATATCCAACTGATTGCCGAAATTAAAGGCCAGTGTTGCTGTCTGTACTTACACACTACCTGTAATCAATGTGAATACCAACAAGTAATTTGGAAAGCAATTGTGAATGCCCAGGACAGCTGAGCAAATCTCTGTCTGTCCAATCAATTTCACTAGTAATGAAACTGGAAATGTTTTGTCCTTCTTAGGGTCAGCAATGTATTTTTTATTATCACTATTTTTTTCTGCATGGAATAAATTTATATTTTTAAGGCCATCACTTTCCATCTTTTCTTTAGTCCTTCATCCTGAAGGCATGATTTTTTTTTCTTTTCATGCACAGCAGCCATCTGATATCAATCCTCCAAGACTTCTCATGTTCCTTCTCATGTTCCTATGAAAAACAGACTTATTAAAATGACTAGCTGCATAAATTAAAGTCAGCATTCAAGTTAATAACTAACACATAAGCGAATACAGCATGCTCAATTCACAGTGTATTCTTGTGCTAACTCCAGATTGACTTTTTAAAATTCCCTGGCCTTGGCTCTTTAAATTCTCACAGTAGCCCTATACAGTCAGCGTTTGTCGTCTCCCTTATGAAAGAAGAATTGGGTTGAAGGAGGCGGCAGGTACAAGCAATGATGTTCATGCCTTGGCCGTCTTCTTCCTTATCTTCGCCTCGTTGGAGTTCCTTCTGCTCTGCGGTGCGGTAGAAGGGTGGATAAGCTACCTACAAAGTCCTGGCCAGACTAGATGGGAATTTGCCAAGAACAAGATCACTGAATTAGCCACATGAGCCACTTCTAGCTGTCGCAATTCTCCAGCACACTTTTCTGGCTCAGACAAGCGGCTTGTTTATTCTACTTATTTTCTTATTCTTCCCAAGCAAGGGTTTAATGTTGTCAGTATTGTTGTGGAGGACTTGAAGCATTCATAGAATTCAACAGCCATTTCCAAATTCAGAGTGCTTTTCACTTACTGAAAATGTGTCTTTAATTATTGGCCAAGTGAAGCCTGTTTTCAAAGAAAAGAACTGCTTGTCTGCAGCTGTAACCCACCAGTAATGGACACAAGGTTTTATACAATTTTATTTTTACTTTTTTAATTCTACAAGTCCCTCCCTCCACCCCCCGCCCTCAGAGGGAAGTACATGGCTTCCCTGACACAGACAAATTTCTGCCCAACCTGGAAAGCAGCCAAATCTCTAAATTGATGTGTTCACTGAATAAATTTCACATAGCAACATGATGTCAGACGCAAGAGGATTTGATAACAGGGAATTGGAATTCTGCAAATGATACAAAAATATTTCTCTTCTTAAGAAATGTTAATAAATCGTTAAATAAAAGACTGTGTGAACACTTTCATGATTGATTTAGCTTCTACTCCCCACTTCAATGAATAGATTATTCTGGCAGCCATAAACTTCACATTAGATGATTCTGTGTGGAACACTTCCTGTAGCTGAGTATGTCTTCCCTCTGAAATACCCTGCGAACCCTTAAAGATTCTCTGATCTTGGGCACTGGGTGGTATGTCCACTCCATCATTTACTCTCACAGCTTATGAAGCTGCTTTCCTGACTGGGCTGGACAGACACATGCATGCCTCCCTGATACCTATTGTGCAGACCCTTTCTGTGGAGTTTTGCTGCAAATATTTGTTTGCCTTGCAGAGGTCAAATATATTCCCTGAGATGTGTTTAGGACTATTTAAAACCATGTACAAGACAGGCGTGGTGGTGCATGCCTTTAATCCCAGCACTTGGGAGGCAGAGGCAGGTGGATTTTTGTGAGTTCGAGGCCAACCTGGCCTACATAGTGAGTTCCAGGCCAGCTGGAGCTACAGGGAGACCCTGTCTCTAACTCACTGCTGTTTGGTCTTGACTATAGATGTCATGTGACTAGTTCTTTTAAGCTCCAGCCTCTGTGACTTCTCCACCATGATAGACTATAACTTAGAACTGTGAGTCAAAATACACTCTTCCTCCCTTGAACTGCTTTTGATCACAGTATTTTCTCATAGCAACAAGAAAAGATGCTAAGACAAGCAGCATGGGCAAAGCTCATGCTGTCCAACTCCTTCCTACCTGGGACAGAGCCACCCTCTGCCTACAGTTTCCATACTCTATGCCCTACTCTCTCATTAGTCCCTCAGCCCTGCCTTGGGTATCATTTGTAGCATCCCAGTGCTATGTTCAAGGAAACTTTCTTGTACTTAATACTAGTACCAAAGTACAATAGTGATACTGGCCACTCAGGCACACCAAAGGGAAACAATGAAGTGCTTTCTTTAAATGAAAAGGTGAAAGCTTAAAATTGAAGGGAAAAAACCAGCATTCTGGCATTGCTAAGAACTATAGGAAGAAAGAATCTTCAATATATGAAATCACGAAGATGGCAAGAGAAATCTGGGGTAAGAAAAAAAAAAACTTGTACAGTAACTTAAGAGAACTATAGGTCATCCACTGCTTCAGAAAGAAGTGGCACATTTTTAAATTCTCAAATATGCTTTTCTTCAGAAACAATTTTAAACCTTACCAATTTTAAGGAAACTTTCAGGTCTCCATAGGGAGAAACGCAACAATTGCTTACTCTGAAGGGTTGAATGAAATCTCTAATTATCATGAACAATAAAGCCATTTTAATAATGCTATCATTTTATGCAGGCTCTATACAAATAAAATGTTATGATTCTCTTTTCAAAATGATGAACACAAAATTTTTAATCTTTCACTCTAATGCCTTATACCTCTTGCAGCTGTCATCACTTATTTTTCACGGTTCATGGTTCTGATCCTACAAATGGATGGGTTTGTTCCAAACAAGTGCTAATCTCAGTAAATTCAGGCTCTCTAAATTAACAGACTGTACCTCACTGCCCCAATCAGGGAACATGTAGAAGGCTTTGCTTTTAACAGGGAACTTTATCATTGTTTTTAAGAGACTGAATATCTGTAGGTCACAAAATGTTTGAACAGATTCAGAAGAAAAGTTTAGGCTACACTTTTTATGTTTCAATCTGACACAAACTCATGAATACGCTGTATCCTCAGAATGTTAGAGCACTTGATTCTAACAATGTGGCCTGTGGACAGAAACTATATAAATTGAATAGTAAGCTGAAATTATCCATCTGTGTCTTCTGCCTTTTAAATAAATAAAGCTGTGATGCAGGGCCCTCGCAGCTTTTCAGACAAAATTCTTTTATGGTCTTCAAAGGCCTTCTGCCTCATGCTCCCCACTTCTACCTCCATTCCAAACCTCCTTTTCTGGAGGTAAAATGAGGTGGGGTTTTGGGCCAGTGGGACACATAGATAACAGTCATCCCTGTATATCTTCATCTGTGGATTAATCAACTACAGATCAAAACTATGCAGAAAAAACAATTGCATATGTGCCCAGAAGTCCTTATAGTGTCCCTTGTCATTACTTGCTAAGCAACACAGCATAACAACTATCATGAACATTTCTACATAGCATGTATGTTGTATTAGGTATTATAAGGCTTTTGGGCATGGTTTAAAGTATATAGGAGGGTCTTATTGGACTTATGCAAACACCATGTCATTTTACATAAGGCATTTGAGCATCGGCAGATTTTAATATCCACAGGCATTCCTGGAACCAATCCCCCAGTGATATGAATGAATGACTGTATTTTTTTTTTGTCTTTTTGAAACAGGGTCTCCCTGTAGCCCCAGCTGCCCTGGAACTCACTGTGTAGACCAGGCTGGCCTTGAACTCACAGAGATCCGCCTGCCTCTGCCTCCCGAGTGTGGGATTAAAGGCATGTGCCACCATGCCCGGCATGACTGTATTTTTATTCTCAACTCTCATGGGTCCCTCACACTTTTTAAAAAAGCACTTCTCACCCTCTGTGGATTACCCAAATGATGATGATGATGAACAGAATACAATTACACATACATGTAAGCAAGGTGTATATGTGTACACATAAATAAAATTTCAGAGAGAGCCTCTTCTTGGCTTTGTGGCATTCCCTTCATTACAGGGTTTCTGAATAACAGACATTTAGGTCTGGACTAAAGGCAGATCTTTTCCACATCTATTTCCAGAGGAATATGATTTTCAAGGTCACTTACTAAAAGGTCAAGTTCTAAAGCAGATGGCAACCTTAGGATTGGCTGGCAAATTTGAATGGCAAGACAGTCTATCCATTTTTCATGAAGTTATAATTAACACCCTGTCTGCCTCCTACAGGTTCAACCTTTGGGAATGAAGAACAGCCAGCTCTGAAGGCAACTCTGCCTTCTAAGGACACACCCAAGGGGACTGGCCGGGCGGCCTCAGCACCTTCCTCCAGTGTGACAATACCCCGCAGGAGTTTACTTCCAGCGCCAAAATCTCCTTCCACACCTGCTGGTAAGACCTTTTGCCTTGTAGTGATTCTCTAGTGGAGTGCCCTTTGTGCATTAATGAGAAGTCTTTGAAAGTCCCTGTGTACAAACAGCCTCTTAGAGGGGATGGCAGATGAGTTTTAAATGGCATTTAAAGTTAATAATAATACAGCTGTTTTCAGAGTACTTTCATATATTCATGTGTTTAAATTCTCACAAAAACTTCTCACTTCACCTGTCTGGTAACTCTTTGAATCATACCATTTTTATTTCAGAAAGTAAGAACCAAGTATTTTAAGCAGACTGGCATTTGGCTGGGGAAAGCCTTTACTTTTGAAATGATTTGTAGGGCTATCGAGCAAGCACCTGCTGAGCCTGAGATGTGAATCTCAGAACCCAGTAGGGGACTGCTGCTCCCTGCTGGGTGTGGGCTTGAGCCTACAGTACTGGGAAGGACCCAGGAATCGGCAGCTGTTGTCTCAGAGTTGGCTCCAGAGCCATGGCTATGCCTGATAGTGCCATCCCAGTAACACAGCCTGCCTTTCCATACCCACGCCTGTGCAGGGATGAGTGGACAGAAGGCGCTGTGCACGGGCACTGCACAGGTAGCCGTGCTTTCCTCTCCCACATTTCACAGAAGTGACCTGTTTACCTATAGCAGTGTCTGCAGGTATGGCTCTTACTTTCTGTTGTCTGCACTGTGGAAGGACACTGTCAGGAAGATGAATGGCTACTGAGTCTTGATCCACGGCTGATGGCTCTTTCGGATCTGTATATTTTTCCTCCATATTTTCTGCTGTGAATATACTCAAATATCATTGCGTAACTACATCCACACATCGAGGTTTATATTTTTAAAATGAGATTGCATTACATGTTGAGCATCACTGTTCAAAATTTTAAATGTCGCAAAATCTGAAATGATTTAAACATTGACAGTACGGCACAAGTAGAAAATTGTACACCTGTCGTGGGTGGGTTACAGTCAAATATAGACAGACTGAAAATGTATTTCTAGACTATGTCTATGTATCATACACACATGAATTTTGTGTTTAGACTTGGGTCTCATCTCCAATATAACTCATTATGTTTATGCAATTATTTCAAAGTCCAAAGTCTGAAACACTTATGGCCCAGGCATTTTGGATAGGGGATACTTAAGCTTATATAACCTTTTATTCCACATGTTACATGTGCTAGTTAATTTCACATAGCTGGGAGAAAATGCCTAACAGAAATACCTTACAGGAGAAAATATTGAGTTGGGATCAGTTTCAGAGGGTTTCAATACACGATGGTGAGGAAGGCACACAGAACAGCTCCATTTATGGTGGTGATAGCATTGTTCACATTGTGGCACACCAGGAAGCAGAAAGAGAGCAGGGTTTGCCTTCAAAGGCCCACCCCTAGTGACCTGCTTCCATCAGCTGGGCCTTACTTCCTAAAGGTCTCACAACTTCCCCAAACAGTGCTGCCAACTGAGGGACAAGCCTTCTAAAATGTGAGTCCGTAGAGAATATTTCAGAGCAAACTATAACAAAATATGTCATAGAGAGACCTTTGAGTCAGTGCTATGGCTCCTTCATTTCAGTAGCTGCATAGTGTGGATCAACCATGACTTATCCAACCAACCTCCTTCTAGGCACACACTTTATATGCAGTATTTGCCACAACAAGTAGTGCCTCAATAAACAGCCTCCAATGGGCCATACTATTTACATGGGCTCTCTAGGAATGGGTTTGCTTGATGGAAGCAGTAGGACTCCCGAGATTCCTCTGCAGAGGCCCGTGTTTTGTATTTCTGCCTGGGTACCAGTTGGGAATAGATATTAGCCTTTTCTAAACTTTTGGTCCACTTGGGAATAAAGTGTTATCTTAATGTCATTTTAATTTATATCTTCCTGACTACCAAACTACCTAAAGCCCTTTGCTCCAAGCTACACTAACATCTTGAGATTCCTTTGGTGAGATTTTAAAAAATATTTTTATTGAGGGAAAAGAGATAAATAATGCATACCTGATGTAAAAAACTAGAGGGAAACATATTAGTAAAAAAATTTTTTTATTGATTCAAGAATTTCATAAAATGTGTTTTGATCGTATTCAAACCCCCTTCCCCTTTCCACCCTCACCTTAAATTCCCCCAAATTCATCTCCTCTATTATTTTTCTTTTTTTTAAAAGACCTATCCAGTCTAATCCATTTTTCCAAAATGCTTCCTGGGTGTGGCTCTATCCCTTGGAGCCTGGTCAACCTATCAAGTATCATCACACCAGTAAGGAAATCTGACTCTCCCTCTCCCAGCATCTATCAATTGCTAATAAATCCTCAACTAGGACTGGGGCTTCTTGCCTACCTCCCCCATCCATGCTGGGGTTTTGTCTGTCTTGAGTTTGCACAGGTCTTGTGTATGCTGTCACAAGTGTTGTGGGTTCATATGTGCAGCTACCCTGTGGTGTCCAGACAACACAGTTTCCTTATATTCATATACTATCTCTGCATTTTACAATCTTTCCAACCCCTCTTCCACAATACTTCCTGAGCCTTGGGAGGGAAAACGTGCAGTATAGGTGTCCCATTTAGGCCTTGAACTCCACAGTCTCTTAATCTCTGCCCATTGACCGGTTGTAGGTCTCTATGTTAATCATCATCTACTGCAAGCTTCTCTGAGTTAATAATAAGTCATTAGGAGTCAGTTTCCTGCTATGCCTATTTAGCAGAATAATAGCTTTAAGTTGCATTGTTTAGGTTTTTTTCTTCCTCATGGGACGTCAAGTTGTCTGTTAAATTATTTTATTTATTATTTTTATGTGTATGAGTGTTGCCTACATGTAGGTAAGTGCACTCATGTTGTGCAATGGTGCAATGCCCACTGAGGTCAGAAGAAGACATCTAATCCCCTGGAAGTAGGGTTACAGATGGTTGTTAGCCACCATGTGGGTATTGGGAACTGAACCCAGGTCCTCTGCAAGAGCCACCAGTGCTCTTAACAGCTGAGCCATCTCTCCAGTCCAGTTGTCTGTTAGATACAGTGTCGCCATCACTTGGCACCATGATTGATTCATTTGAGATATTTAGCATCTCTTTGTTAATGGTTGAATGAGTCAGTGAATGAATGAATGTCATGTGGCATTTGAGTCTTTCCATTCCAGTTGGCCTTGTTAAAACTAGAAAATAATCCAACAAGCCTACAGTTATTGAATCAATGTTATAGACCAAGATTTCTCAAACTCTAGTGCATCACAGTCATCAGTGTTGCTTCTAAAACACAATCGCTGGGTTATATCCCCACAATTTATGATTCAGCAAGTTTGGCTTAGGGCCTGAGAATTTGCATTTCTAACAGATTCTCTGGTGCTGCTGCTGCTGGTCTGGAAAGCAACCTTTGTGAACCAGTGTTACAGAAAAACAACAGGACTTTAAACAGTCGGTTCTTAGAAAAACAAATGAAAACGACTTTTGATCATAGGAGACGGTGACCCACTCCAATTATTAGAAAAACGTATAGTAAACCCACAATGGACCAAAATAGCACACCTATTTGATACAAAAATCTACAGGTTTGACACGTTATGTGTCAGGAGGCAGGTGTCCTCATACATTTCTGTCAGGAAATATACCACTGCTATGAAGAGAAATTTGGCAGCAATCTACAAAATCATAAATACATTTATTCTTTGATTTGGTCATCTAATCTCTAGGAATTGTCTCTAAAAGTAGATTAACAAGAATTTAGTGCATGAGATGATTCATTGCAGTACTGTTTCAAGTCACAAAAGACTAAAAATGCTTCAACTGCCCATTAACAGGGGACTGGATGAACAAAGTGTGATGCATTCCCAGGATGCAGTGCAGTAAGGTTGTTATAAAATGGGAAATTATATTTATTACTACTAGAAAGTGAGTTCCAGAGGCTAGAATTAAGCAGCAAAAGCAAAGTGGAGGGAAGTGAGCCACGTTTTCACTCAATATGGGCCTTATATACAGTGTATGTGCTTCTATTAAGAAAAGCAGTGGAGCTTTCCCATCTTGCAAGGTGGTCGTGAAAAAGCTGAAAAGCTACACACAAAGGACAAGGAACCTGCAGCCAAGAAGGCTGATGATGGTGCCAGTGCAGGTGCAGCAGAAAAGGGAGACCCAAAGGCTCAAAAGCCAAGGAAAGGGAAGCTGTCTGCCGCCAAAACCCTGTCCTGATTAGAGGAACTGGCAGCTATTCATGATCTGCTATGTATTCCAGAAAGGCTTTCTACAAAAGGAAGTATTCAGCTACTAAATCTAAGGTTGAAAAGAAAAAAGCGAGAGGTTCTTGCTACTGTCATAAGACCAATTGGTGGCAATAAGAATGATGGTTAAGCTTCTCAAAATGCCTAGGTATTATCCTAGCAAAGATGTGCCATGGAAGGTGCCATGGCAAAAAGCCCTTCAGTCAGCAGGTGAGAAACCTATCACCAGCATCACCAGGAGACCATCCTATTCATCATCCTCACTGGGGAGCCACGGGAGGAGCAGGGTCTTCTTGAACCAGCTAAGCAGTGCTTTGTTACTTATGAATGGTTCTCTTGCCCTCAACCAAATTTCTCTGCATAGAAGACACTAGGAAATTATATTGCCACCTCCCCCAGAAATGGCATCAACAATGTAAAAATTTCCAGACACCTCACTGATGCTTAGTTCAAGAAGAAACTATGTAAGCCAAGATGCCAGGAAGGCAGGATCTTCAACATGTGGGGGTGATGGAGGGATTGTACACTGGCTCAAGGTTGATCAGAAAACTGTGGCCTCATGAATTTTTCCAAAGATGAAAGCTATTCCTCAGCTCAAGGGCTACATGAGATCTGTTTGCTCTAACAAACAGAATGTGTCCTCACAAGCTGGCACACTAAATTTCTTATGAAAAACCTAGGTAAACAGCTAGTATAGTTTTAAAAAGAAGAAAAATTCTCTATGGATACATTTTTTTAATCTTAGTTATCTTTTTATTGCTTTAAGGGGTGGTGTGAAAAACCAAATGGAAATTTATTA